GTCAAAAAGATTCATTGATCCTGAACACATCAAAGTTGATGCTATCATCAACCTTAGCAGAAATGATATCAAAATCTACACTGAACTTCTTACAGGGCACTGTAGACTTAATTACCACATGAAGATTATAGGTGCGGTAGAAAGTGATTCCTGTCGACTCTGTCATGAGGAGAAGGAAACATCGGAACATGTTCTATGCAACTGCCCAGCGGTGGCAAGACGTAGACTCGATTACCTCGGTAGCGGGATCCTGGTCCCAAATCAAATAGGTAAAATTAAGCCCACTGCAATTATAAGATTTATAAATAGTCTAAAATTGTCCTAGTTGGGCCTATAGGCGCACAATAGATCTTTTAGGTCGGGGTGCACAAATAGCCTATTTTTTAAATAAATAATAAATAAAATTGTTTACATAAAAAAAAAGATGTATATGTAGTGCTATATATTTTTACTTCGAAGACTTTCGTATATCCAGGCGATACCTAGTTGTGCCGTATGCTGTGAATTCTGTGAGTGACAGCCGTGGATTTGATGTGCGAACGCCGCGATTTTCTGTGGACGGGTGTCGTGGAATGGTGTGTAGTTCTTCTCAAGTTACACTACGGAATATTCACAACATGTCCGTGCGATTTCTTGTATTCCTCCAAGTAATTTTATATCCTTTACCGTAAAACCAACGCAGGATTTAAGATATTTCTTATGGTTATACATGGTTCATAGACATATATAATTTGTATCCTTTTTTCTCTCTTCAGAGTTTCTTTTCAGTCTAGATATCAATACCCGTGGCTCATTAGGCTGGAGGATCGCAGGTAATGTCAATATAATTTGTGGCCAAATATATTTTGATAAATTTTATATTTTCCAGGTAATTACATCGCAGTTCAATTCAATTCAGTGTTTAATTATACTGTGTAAGGTATAATGCGGTTGTGCTTTTATGGCGACGGTCAGACATCGTTTTCCTCTTTACTTCTTATAGTATGTGCGGAAGAAATTTGATGTACAAATTTGTTTCGTCACAATGGATAAAAAACAGTGCACGAATTGTTTCACAATTCAATAAAATCCTAATAAAAAAGGGGAAAAAAGTAATAAACACTATAAGACCAAAAGAAATTACTGTTCATGGAAAAATTGATTTAGATCAATTATTTTTAAAGCTTGAAAATATAGCTAGCAGTAATAAAATAAAACGATTCCAATTATCACTAGATGATAATCTGGTAAACGCAATCAAATTAAACAATTTAAAAGACATAGCAAACAAACGAAAGCAAATAGAAATTGCTCTTCTACCATGTTTAGAAAAAATAATAGACGACAACGAGAAACTTAAAATACTCGAAAAGTTTCATGACGATCCCATTTTTGGAGGTCATCCAGGAATCCAACGCATGAACACCAAAATAGGTAGATACTTCTATTGGAAAAATATGACAGCAGACATTCGAAAATATGTTAAAACCTGTCATAAATGTAAATTAAATAAAATCTCAAGACATATCAAACAACCTATGATATTGACTTCAACTCCACAAAATGCGTTTGACAAAGTGGTGATAGATACCATTGGTCCTTTGCCGCGAACTGAGTACGGCAACGAATACGCTGTTACAGTGATATGTGATTTAACAAAGTATTTAATCGCAATCCCGGTTACAAGCAAAAATGCGATGGTAGTTGCAAGGGCAATATTCGAAAATTGCATACTCATCTATGGACCCATGAAAACAGTAATTACTGATATGGGTACTAAGTATAATAACCAACTATTCAGAGAACTATTAAAGCTCCTTAATATAAAAGCAACAACTTCTACAACGTATCACCACCAAACGCTGGGAACTGTGGAGCGAAATCACAGAACGTTTAACGAATATGTGAGAAATTACATTTCAAGCGAACGAGATGATTGGGACAAATGGCTTAGGTATTACACGTACTGTTACTATACCACACCCTCAACAGTACATGATTACTGCCCTTACGAATTAATATTCGGTAAGGTGCCAATCATCTATTGCTTTCTAAAAGAAGGCCAGGTAGATCCTGTCTACAATATAGATGCCTATGATAAAGAAGTCAAGTATAAATTACAGATGGCACTTAAAAGAGCGCGCATCTTAATAGATAAGCATAAAAATAGAAATAAGATAATTTACGATAGGACTTCTAATAAAATAGAGATAGATATAGGAGATTTAGTATATATTAGTAATCCAGCTGGACATAAGTTAAGCAATAGATATAACGGACCGTATAGAATAGTAAATAAAGACAATAAAAATAATATAATAATTGCAGATAATGCAAGAACATGGGCAGTACACATAGATAGAATAAAAAAAAAGACAATAAATAAATAATATGTGAACGAAGTTTTAAACTAAAATTTTTTTTTGTATTTAAATGTATTTAAATTAATAAATACAAAAATAATCATTTTATACAGCAATTAATGTAGATATTAATAAATATTTAATATCAATTAAAAATTACTATTAAGTAAATATAAATAATAAATAAATTTATATAAATAAATTCATTAAAAAAAAAAAACAAAAAAAAGGAAGGTGTAGCATGTATACACTTTATATATATATAATTATATAAATGCATATTAAGGTGCATATAAAATACCATTAAATGGTTAACGTACAGTGTTGTGAATGTGCCTATGCAGCACATTCCCATCATTGACTTTAGCCATATGCAAGCAGCCACACTGCTGCAATATGAAACCCCACTTATGTGAGATAATAAAATGTGTACATGCTCCTCTGCTGTGTTAGTGCTTGCCGGCGTACTAACACAATTATGTAGTCGGTAGTTTTAATATAAATTAAGACAACAATTTCAATAAAGAATTATACCTGAACATAAGTGGTTGCATTTCCTTTTAAACGATTTGTAATGATATTATAATCTAAGAAATATAACTATGAAATCTCTTTTGGACTTCAGTTCAGATCATTCATTAATATTAATCAACTTTTCGTCTAATATTTCACACACGGAAAAATTGTATGTTTATTTAATTTACAAAAATTAGACTAGAATAATATAACTTCACGAAGCCAGTAAAAGCGCGCACACCTTACCAGTATCCAAGTAAAAAGAAAAAGCAAAACACGGAGCCAAAAATTATTGCTTGCCAGATGTTAAAATGCCACTGTCAAAATCAAAAGATCAGTGATGCCATACTGCCTGGTTGTTGTGCCAAATGCTCAACAAGCCTGCATATCTTCTGGATAGGTCGAATGCATTCGCCAGTTGAATACTTGGTTGTGACTAATCGTATCAACCTATTCTGATCAACCTGCCAAACCTCCAATCTGTTGAGATCTTCAGCCCATTCGATGTGCACTGCCTTGGTTACAATGCACACGAAGATTGTCACGTAAGTCTTCCGTACAGTTCGTACAGCCTTGGGGCCAATTCGTATGTTGAATGGATCGCAATAGTCTAAGCCAGATCTTGCAAATGGTCGAGATGGGGTGATCCGAGCCTTTGGTAATGTCGCTATACGTTCTTTTAGCATTATGTGTTTATACCGCCTGCAGGTCGCGCATGAGGGTATGCATTGCTTGACCAAAATGCGTGCCTGTAGAATCCAATATTTGTGTCGAATAGTATGCAGCATAAGCTGTATACCGCAATGAAGTGTATCTTGATGCACTTGCCATATTAAAAGCCTAGCTTGGTGCTATCCTTAGGAAGAATGATTGGATGACATTATTTAGGCGTTCGCATACTTGCAATATCTTGTCCGCTGTCGAGCTGATGAACGGGCTTAGTTCAATGAGCTTGCTGGATGTAGATATGAGCTGCGCCTTTTGCAGCTGCATGAGTTCCGCTACGAAATATTTTGCTTGCTCTGACTTGATGTGGTGATTTAAAACAATGTCTATTTCGCCTGCACAAGTAACATAATCGTATTAATCCGCCCCTGCCCTTCTTTAAATTGTTGCTACATGTTTACTCCAAATTTATAGAAACGGTAAACTAGCATGTTTTAAATAAACTAAGGTACTATATTGTATAATGGAAAATAAGAAATAAATACTTTAACTTCAACAATCTAGTTGAGAAGACATATTTGATACTAAATACGTTACTTACAGATATGTATGCAGATGTACAGATGTGTATGCGAGCGAAAACACTGATGTGCCTTTTTGCAACGCAATATGTATGCAGTAGGACGCAATAGCTTACCAAGATGAATGAACCGGTCCAACAGATCTATGACGACCAATTCTTCGCCAGAAGTGTAGTGTGTCTGTAGTGAGAGTTGACCTATTACTTGCAATGCCTTTACCTTAAGTGGTTTTAACTCGCCTTCCATTATTGCCAGCTCTGCTGGTGCACAGTGGAGCAGGTCATTGATTGGATAATCAGTTGAATTAGGGCCATGTCACCATAATGTGTAGTTATGCAACGCCAAAGGGGAAATGCCACGAGTGGCGCAATCAGCTGGGTTGAGTCTGGTAGGAATGTGATGCCAATGCCTTATATCTCTCATTGATTGAATGCAGCCAACTCGATTAGCAACGTACTGCTTAATTTGTGATGTGTTTTTGCATAGCCAACATAGAGCAATATTTGAGTCGGAGAATATAGTGTATGGTAAGTGCTCCAAATGCAAAGTCTGCCATGTTTCGTGTAAAAGGGTAGCTAACAATTGCGCAGCGCAAAGTTCCAATCTGTTACCGAATCTGTTCAGGTACAGTCACCGAATGTAATGGTTCCACTTTAGTTTTTGATGCGATGATGTGACTAGTGATATTGCCATCGTGGTTTGTTGCCAAATAGAATATTGCAGCCATCGACTTGACACAAGAATCGCAAAAACCATGAAATTGTATTTCAACTCCGGGTTGTATGCCTATCTAACGCGGTTTACGCACTGCCTGCAGTTGCGAGAGCTGACTTCGGTATATAAGCAATTCAAGTGGTAATGGGTCGTCCCATGCCAATTTTGCCTGCCAGAGTTTTTATATGAAAAATTTAGCCGTGATGATAACTGGTGCTAACATGCCAATTGGATCATATAATTTCGCAGTATCTCTAAGCACTTGCCTTTTATTGAGATGCTGTGTATCATAAGAGCTGACCTGATAGAAGAGTTCATCGGAAAGTGGATCCCAATGCAAGTCAAGAACAGTGGTTTCTGCCAAATGTGGATTAAGCTGACATGGATCAACATCGCCAAGAAGGTGTGCCAAGACTTCAGTGCTATTTGATTTCCATTTCCTGAAATGGAACTGTCCTTCTGTCAACATATATGAGACATCGGTCGCTAATTGAATTCCCATGCCAATGGAAGGTATACTCTTAAGATAGTCATCCACGTAGAAATCATCCAGGATGCTGTACAAAGCAGTTTTAGCTCGCAGTTTATCTGGGAGTTTATGAGAATTATCTCTGCCATATTGCTGCATAGCACAAACAGCCAAACATGTACCACTGTAAAAACGTTAAATTTTGAAGGATATTAAATCGCCGATATTATTTGGCGTTCCTTCTTTTAATATAGATTTTTACTTCAAAAATAAAAAGAAGGTTTTTAGTTGAGAACTTGGTGCGCTTCTTATGAGTGCATTTCTTGTTCTGATTTTTATTTGAATCTTTACTTTCGACTTAACCTAGGTACATAACGACGCAGCGTATGTACTTTCTTATTTACTAAATATTTTATAATTATATATATATTTTGGTATTATTTATTTTAATATATTGTTACGAATTTCATCAGAGTAGCAATGAAATGTTTAAATATTATTTAAACATTACGTTAATTGACATTTTTATAAAAAGTTAGTGTTGAAATTTGTTTTGAGTCAAGCTAAATTGGCTCCTAGTAAATACTAGTTCTTTTCAATACAACAAATATAATAAGTAAAGTTTCTCCAATTTTCTAAAGTTCGTTTCATTTTTACAAAATGCTGAGATACGAATAAACACGCAGGCGAGAACGTAACAATATTATATGCATTTTTAAAATTGCCTTGGCTACAGTATTTGCACTTTTGTTTGGTATTGGGATAGTTACTAAGTATTTTGTTGAATCACATATAAGTGTGACAGCATACTCATTGCCATTATCAGTTTTAGGTAATGGGCCGATGGTATCTACCATCGCCTGTTGGCGTATCGGTTACTGTCATTGGTAATTTTGTATGGTTATGAATTTTAGATTTTTGACATTTCTGACATGATTTGACATATCTTGATATATTTTTGGTCATGTTTGGCCAATAGAAATGCCTTTTAATTTTTTGTAATGTTTTTGTTGTTCCGCAGTGTCCATCTTCAACTGGGTCATCATGATAATTTTTTAAAATTTTTCTTATTTCTTTCTCTTTAATCAGTTTGGTCACCTTTGGTAGTAGTGCTACTGTTAAATTTTTCAATAATTTATTGCCCTTGGCCTTAAATTCATTTACTGAGACAAATTCGAAAATTTGCTCACTAGGTGCCATTTGTACTTTGTTGATGCGATGTTTGCAGTTAATTTCTCTAACCTTGAGAATAATTGTCCTAAATCAATTTTCTCATTGACAAACAGATCATCAATTATTATTTTTTCAATAATTTTATTTCCACGTTTTAAATAACATTGGTTGGAAGTCAATTTTAATTTTATTTGTTTTCTGACGTCAGTACTATTAATGACTTCGTATATATAGGGCATTTCGTACTTCAATTGTTGGTCGAGGGTATTCATTTCTTTATTTTGTTTGGTGGTTGATCGAGTTCTCATTTTAAGAATCTTTATAGATTTTTCATTCATATCTTTAAAATCGTCTATCGTTATTCTCGATACAGCATCGGCAATATAATTTTCTTTGCCTCTGAGATACTCCACTGTGAAATCGTATTCTTCGAGATCTCATCTCATTCGAATTAGTTTAGAACTCAGGTTTTTCATTGTGAAAAGGAAGGTTAATGGGCGATGGTCAGTCTTAATTAAGAAATGTGTACCATATATGTAGGAAAGTAGGTATGACAGTGGCGCAAAAGTAATTAAAAGTAGTAGAGTTACGTCGCTGTCATAAGAAAAGAGCGCAGGGCAACTCCGTTGCTTTGAAGTGTCAGTTGAAGTGAAAAGAAGTAGTAACAGTGGGCAGCTCGTAGAAGAAGGAAGCAGGGAAAATAATGGTGTGTGCGCGTTAAAATTAGTTTAAAATTAAGTTGAGAAATAATCATTAAATTATTACACTCAGTTATTATAGTTATTTAATCAAATAATCCTTTAATAACAATTAACTATTAAAATTTAAATAAATTTAAGGTCTAGAGCCTACAAACCTAAGAGTCAAATAAAAAAAAAAAAAAATGGTGTTTAGGTAATGCATATGTTTAAATTTAATATATGAACGAGTTTATAAAAAAATGCAAAAAGTGTGATTTAAGAATCATCGAAATTTTTAAACTTTGAATGATTGAAAATTGTTATTTACACTGAAGTTATTAAAAACAAATATGTGACATAAATTAATAAATAAAAATTTGAATAGAGTTAAACTAAAAGCGACAAACATAACAATGAAAAACTAACTAAAATAACTGTGGAGTTAAACAAAATTATGTTTGATCCGTTCTAAGCGAGCTGCATATTGTGAAATACACAAATTAAAAAGAAAAAAAAAAAAAATTGCTGTTATTAGTTGGCGTCGACGTGGTGATCGAAGTTGTTAGTAAGCTGTGTGTGTGTACATGTGCTTTGTTAAACGTAGTAGTAAACGCAGTGCATACAGAGGTGAATGCAGTCACTGAGGTGGTAAGACAAACAACGCAAAAGCTGTTCTGATGAAGTTGGGAGTGACGAAGGTGATGCGTAGCGGGTGCTGGCGGTGCAGTGGAGACTGGCAGAAATTTTTATATTTTGTTTAAGTACATATTTTGTTTTATTTGATTGCGTATTGAAATTGATACGTTTTAATTTTTTTTTAGCTTGTAATTTATATTTTATTTTTCAAACTTATTTACTTTTTAGTCATAATTTAAATTTTTTTTTTTTGAAAAGATTGTAATAACGTTGCCACCATGAATATTAACAGTATCATTGCGCTGAATATAGAAGTGTTAAGAGTGGAGCTTAGAAGATTAAATTTAAATACAGTAGGCAAAAAGCAAGAATTGAGAGAAAGATTAATTAATCATTATCAATAAGAAACGCACCGAAATGTAGAAGACAAAGAAATACAGTTTGACAAAATAGCAACTGTTAAAACGATACAAGAACGTTCACTGTTTACGCTTCGTGATGTGGAAGACTCTCTCACTACATTTGCAGGGGTGGGTCAACCAAGTGTTAAGATTTGGGTAGAACAATTGGAAGAAATGGCTATTAGCGTAAACTGGAACGATCAACAAAAATTTATCTATGCTAAGCAGTTACTCAAGGGCGCAGCCAAATTGTTTGTCAGAAGCCAGATAGAGGTAAAAGATTGGGTGTCGCTCAAGAAAGCATTAATTGCAGAATTCACAGTAAATTTAACAATGAACGAGGTTCATGCCATGTTAAAGGAACGAAAGAAAAAACCAACTGAATCATTAAGAGAATATTTGTATAGTATTATTGAAATAGCAAATCAAATTCAGTTAGATGAAATGAGCATAATAGACTATTTTATAGAAGGAATTCCAGACAGTAGAGCAAACAAAACCATATTATACCAGGCAACGAGCATGAATGATTTAAAGAGTAAGCTAAGTATTTACGAAAAGATCAGGAGAAACACATACTCGTCATTAAACACTACAGGAGGGAAACTTCAAACAGAACATACTGGGGTACAAGACATAAAAATAGAAAGAGAGGATAGAAAAGATGGAAAGCGTTGTTATAGGTGTGGAGGTAAGGATCATATTGCTAATAGTTGCAAAATCAAAGATTATAAATGCTTTAGATGTCAAGAGGTGGGGCACAAAGCATTCGAATGTAAACGTCCGGAAAATGTAGTAGGAAATATAAACAAAAACAACTCTCTCGTTATAGAAACTATTAATGATGTGCGTCGAAATGGAACTAATAGAGTTTTGAAAGCTTTAGGAATAAATGGGAAGAAGGTACGTGCTCTAATCGATACGGGTAGCGATGTCTGCATCATCAGACACTCCACTTGTTTGCGGTTAGGAAACATTGTATTGGAAGCTAGGAGAAAAACATTGACGGGTATAGGAGAAAAAGAGATTAAAACATTAGGTAGCTTCATAACATTAGTCGGTTTAAATGGTATCCAAACCAGTTTGAATCTCCATGTGTTAAACGATGATGATGTCCAATATGATGCCATAATAGGAAGCGATATCCTAGAAATAGTTGACATTTTGATCTCCTCAGATGATGTAAAGTTTTTGCGAAAGTCTTAGGAAATCATATCGATTTTAATAAGGAAAATGTAAGAGAATGTGAAAATGAAGTTAGGAATCTCTATAACATTTGCGTGACAATGGAGCGGGATGAACCGGAGGTAGTGGTTCAAGCCAGTTGAATTATTTACCAAAGGAAAGAAAAGAGGAGATAATAAACGTTATAAAGCATTACAAGCCGAACAAGAAGATTAATAACTCCCCAGTAACAATGAAATTGATTTTAACTGATGAAGTGCCGGTATTTCATAGGCCAAGAAGATTATCACTAGCGGATCAGCAGACTGTAGAATCTCAGATACGTGAATGGCTAGAGGAGGGTATTATTAAAGAGAGCATGTCAGAATATGCCTCGCCGGTGGTTCTAGTAGCGAAAAAAGATGGCTCCAAGAGGTTGTGCTGTGACTATAGAAAGCTAAATTCGAAAATAATTAGAGATAACTTTCCTATGCCACTAATAGATGATATTTTGCAGAAGTTGCAGTCAGCTGTTGTATATAGCACATTGGATTTACGAAATGGATTTTTTCATGTGCCTATTGAAGAAGATAGTCGAAAATTTACGGCATTTGTGACGCATGGCGGACAGTATGATTTTTTATTTTCTCCATTTGGAATTAAAAACTCTCCAGCGGTGTTCACATGATACGTTTATGCGGTGTTGAGAGAATTAATAAAGAAAGGTGTAGCAATGGTATACATGGACGACATCATAATACCATTCCAAAATGAAGAAGAAGGAATGAGACGATTAGTAGAAGTGTTGGAGGTTGCTCAAAATTTCGGGTTAAACATTAAATGGGAGAAGTGTCAGATTTTAAAGAATAAGGTTAACTTTTTAGGTTTTATCATTGAAAACTCGAGCATAAAACCAAACGAGGAAAAGCTAAAAGCTGTTAGAAATTTTCCAATGCCAAGAGATAACAAAGAAATTCAACGATTTTTGGGATTAACATCATATTTTAGAAAATTTGTGTATAATTATGCTGTAATTGCCAAACCATTAAGTGATTTGTTACGAAAAAACGTAAAATTCGAGATAAAAGACGAGCAAAAATTGGCT